GAGAGAGAGAGAGAGAGAGAGAGGGAGAGAAGGGCAATACCACGCTTTATTTTTTGTTTAGGTGGATTTGAATTTCTTTTTTTTGGGCGCTCAGACCACCTAGGTGCCTGCCTTAGGCATGGCCGCCCAGACCCCACAGCCTAAGCTACCCTTAGGCGGTTTGTCTGCCAGGCCGCCGGCAGCCGAATTTTCGTTCATTGGTTTTTTCAACAGTAAAATATAAGGAGGTTTTTATTTACCTCCCCCTGTGATCGGTCCTTGGCCTTATCTCCGGATATGTGTTTCATCATTCCTGGAGGGCCACACACCTACATGGATAACAGATGTGGTACCATTAAAAAACAAGTATATCCCAAAACTGTAAACATGCCACTAATCAGAAAGAAAAAAGAACATGTAGGTTGAGAATGGTACTCAATTATAGCATTTCAAGTAACACCAAACCAATTTTTAAAGATCATATGCAAATGGAACAGCTTATAATTGAGCACCAGGCACTGAAATAAAAACTCATACTATAAAAACTCACAAGTATGAGTGTGTCATCACTAGGTACAGGCAATCCTTTTATGATCATGTCGTTTGATATATAACCAGCACCACCTCTCCAATTCTGAGATGGTTTATCCACTGTGTAAAATATCTGCATTAAATAATAAAAGATAGTTAATTTCCAATGAAACTCGTGATAATCTTCTAACCTCTTTCTTATAAGAAATTATTCGACCTTCAGATTTGGATGGTTGGCTGAAAGCATGTCAAGCTTTTCTTTGAGCAGTATATCATCAGGAGAAATATTTGCATAGAGCAATGATATCTGAAAGAAACAAAAACTCATTAATATTTGTCATAGACTTGAATTCCAAATTGTATAAGTTCTTTACCACACTTCATCGTTAGTCATATTATCAGTATTTGGATAGAAACTGACAAAAAATTTCTAAAAAGCACATGAAACTTTGATGCAGGTTTCTAAATAAACTGGTGCTTTAAGCATATGAAGATTGCCAAAACAAGTCGACAGGAAAATGCCATTCATTCTCTATGAAATATTATGAAAATCCGTCATTCTCTCAGGGCACGTTTGATTAAGGAAAGATGCAGCTTTGGAAGCCACATTTTCCCAAAAACGTAACACTTCCTGGGTTTGATTACAGGAAGTGCTACACTGCGGCTTCCAGGATATGTGAAAAATGGGAATAGACAGCTTTCATGTGCCCCCATTGGAACCAGCCACCTCAGAAGCTAAAGTGGGGGCTCTTTTAAAGACTTCCATAGAAAGTCTTGTATTAGACTATTTAAAATAGAATTTTTTAGAAGACTTCCGTGTTTTTTTTTTAAAGACTCTCTCATGTTTTATTCTTCTTCAAATATTTTTTTTTGGGGGGAGTTTCTCTCTCTCTCTCTCTCTCTCTCTCTCTCTCTCTCTCTCACACACACACACACACAGGTTGTTCCACTATATTACCCTTTTTTATGTAAATCTTACTGCGGAGTTCTTAATATTTCTTTCTTGAGTGCTGGACCAATTTTTACAAAGGTCATACCAAGAACATGACTGAACTACGCTATCTTTGATTATAAAAGGATGTTTATATAGTTTCTCCATCTAAAACGCAAGGCAGTGTTTGATGTTGATCTTAAATTCTCCTTAAATGACCAAATATTGTCCTCTCATCAATGAAAACTTCCATGAATGGTTAAAACTGGCTAATTTCCAGATCTTTATTTTTCTAGAATTCTAGGTTCAATCAAACACAGGTTTCCAGCCATCCTCAGAATTCCAGATAAATTATCAAACAGTGTTTTCCAGCTCCAAATATCACATGCTACAACTTCCAGGGAGGCAGATCTTCTGCCTCCCAGGGAGGTTAGCTTCCCTCAATAATATAAGTGTGGTTTATAAAACTTAAATAATACAAGTACTACAATCAGTTCTGTGCCATATAGTTCTTTACACTTTATAACTTTTTCAATGATTTGATACTATGGTCATCCAAGCTGTGCATGCTCCCCCCTCAGTTGTGTGGTACGTATTTTGCATGACTTTGTGTGAATGCGTTCAAGTGTAATGACCCATGCATAAAAAAAGTATGGAAAAGATCCTCTTGTAGAAAAGGTCTTCTTGTCTAACTGGAAAAAGAAAATTTAAATTTCATGACAAAGATACTCTAAATATATTAATGTACATTATAACTTAGCTTCATCTTGATCAATTTCGAATTATGGAACATAAAGTTAGTACTGATACAATAAGGAAAACCTGGGTGTTGTCATCAGGATTCTTCAAAATAGCTTCAATGACCTGTAGCATTGGCGTAATTCCTGTACCACCTGCAATCTGGAGCACAACGGTTCTGAGCATTATATAAAGGAAGGAATGTGGCTAAGAAGAAAGTGCAGCCACTTGCTTATCGGTAATTCACAGAGAAGCAAGAATGTTTTCTAATGCATCAAAGATATCACCATACGCATGCTAAATATTATATTCTTCAAAGCAAAACAGGTTATTTGAAAGGACTGAGGGAATCTGAAAGGGAAAAAGGGAGAACCACGTTGAACAATGCAGTTGGATGTGTAACTTAGTGAATATAATCCATTCCTGTGCATGCATGCAATTAGAAACAAGAAGAGAAAACCATAGGCGATCGCTCCTCGAGGAAATAACAGAATCCCTGGACAGATAATATTGGATTAATGATGTACAAAAATATCATAACTTGATAATTGCACCTCTGGAACCATTTAGGAAACTGGTAGATGCTTTGGACAAGACTTTTTATGATTATAATAACCCTATGAGAGACAGCTAACAATCTGCTAGGCAACCGCAGGTTTTGTCGAAAACCTAACAAGTGCTGCAGATGATCTATTTCTTTTTTTCCCTTTTTTAATACAATTGACTTGTATGAAGTAAAAATATATTATAAAATGTGCTCTACAATGTGTTTGGGTAGAAGATATACAAAATCTCAGACCATAAAAAAGTGGCCCAGCAAGGGAAAAACTCTGGCGGCTTGAAAATCACCCAAGTGACAAACTATAAACAAAATTATGTTCATTCAGGTTCTCTATGCATCGTTGATGATGAACGCCTAGTTTTGGCCAGGCCGTCCATGAAGTTTTTGACCTAGCGCAATGTGTGATTGATATTTATCGAACTAAGGAGATCACCTTGAAGATCTGATATTGAGCCTCCAAGGGTGTGTCTAGCAATTGTTTGCCAAATTGGTTGTTTCTAGAGTCGCCGTCAACCACCATGGTCAACCACCAACTGAGGTTGAAAAATTTCAGTCCTTGGAATAGCACTAGGGCCTCGGCCATGATTGAGTCAGTAATGGCCCCTAGAAAGGACAAAACTGTGGCACCCTGACAATCTCTAAACAAACCCCCAATTCCCTAGATGCCAAGGCTGCCAAATGAACAGCTATTGAAGTTAAATTTGATGGAATCAGGCCATGGGGCAGCCCGGTGGGAAGATTTATTGAAGAGAATCCTGCTTAAACTTGCTACAGTTGCCAAATTCAGTAGAAAAGCGAAAGATTCTGAAACCTTTCCCGAGGAGTCACCAACTTACTCAGGCTTTGACACAATCCAAAATGACCTCGAGATCTCTTACTTTGCCTTCAAAAATACGTGTATTGCGTTCAAGCCAGATGTTTCAAGAGGCAGCAAGGACTGGGACAGGATAAAATACCTTCAAGGTGAGGTAGATACAAAAATTCTAGACAATCACTTCGTGATAAAGATCAAGAATACAGCTGTAAACAAAAATTAGTGAGGCCCATTCCCAGGAATAGATGCTGCTCCCTCTTTCACTAAAGCGTCATTCAGGGAGAGCTTGAAGCCCAAGAAATGATAGATTTAGAGTTACCTTCAATAGCAATTTGGTTGCCCCACCCAGGGCCATAAACTCTTAGGCATTTGAGTAAAGCACTGGCCTTTGCTGTGGTACTATCGGCAAGACCAATGGGTATGGAGATAGCAAGAATAGTGGAGCCAAAAGGGTCCCTGAACAATCCTCCAACCCCAGCTGGTCCTGGGTTATCAAGGGAACATCCTTCAAAGTTCAATTTGATCCAGCCTTGTTTCGGAATAGCGAGGAATGAGCGACCTTAGAAGAGGTGGAGTGGCATAGCACCGGCCAATTGGACCAGAAGTCCGAATCTTCTGTTAAAATTTTGGCATTTGGTGGAGCGGGTGCAATCCACACCTATAAGGAGCATATTGTGGGTGGTGATCTTGCCTGATTTCTTGATAGAAAGAAATCAAAAATAACCCCAAGGTGGAAAGCACCCAATGAGATCTGTCACTAACCTGGCCAATGAGGAAATAGGCATGGAGAGAGGAAAGAATATTCTCATGGTTTCTGAATTTGGCCCATAGTTGATGAAGAAGTAGGAGTGGGGGAAGGCGAGGGATATTGTTTCTTGCTACGATTTCCCTAGTTTGGGAGCATCATAAGGGCGTACCATAAATATATAAAACTAGAGAAAGTTTAAAGTTAAAAGATTAACTGCATTTTTAAAAATATTTAGATGCAAATTGATGTCCTCTGATATGTAAGTAGTAAGCCTTAAAAAGGACCCTCCAAAAGCTTCTAGCACCCAAAAATTCTATTGTGTCCAAGACCCTAGTGGTCTGGTTCATAACAACAGGAAGAGGTTGGGCGATTGAACTTCCAAGCGAGAGTTCCCCAGTCAAAGGTCTTCCCAGAAAAGTGCTCTCTAAAAACAAGTCGGAGGCCAAAAGAACACCTTTCCAATCCCCCCGACATACAAGACGATGGTCCCCAATGCGAGCTACTGTTGTTGACGCCATACTTATGTTCAAACCTCCTCCAAAGCTGAGTTTCTTGGGTAAGAAAATGCCACAGCCACTTGCTCAATTGTAAAGTGTTCATATCTTTTAAAAACTTAATCCCTGAACCCCTCCGTGCTTTTTAGGTTTTACGGACCATAGTCCATTTGACTAGGTGATATTTGTTGTCTTCCCGGGCACCAATCAGTGGAAGTACCTTGGAAAGGTTTTGTTGTCTCCACGGGCACCAAACCAGTGGAAGTCCCTTGTTAACCTTTCCAATTTCTTCAGGATCATCACTAGCATTCAGAAGAAAGGAAAGGTGGAATATAAGAATACTTGGTGGATTTTATAAGAGTGAGTCTTCCTCCCAAAGAAAGGTAGCCACCTTTCCATGAGGTGAGGCATTTTCCGAACCATCCAATCACTACATCCCATAGCTATATCCTTGGCCTATTCATGCATAAGGGAAACCCAAGGTACTTGCAAGGTAAGGAGTCCACACCACATCCAATTCTCTTGGCTAGGTTCCCCACCGCAAGATGCTCTAACCCTATTCCCATGAGACTGGTCTTAGTCATGTTAACTAAGTCCCCGTAGAGAACTCAAAGCAGCAGGTGATTAGACACAGTGTCTGCATGTTGAGGGACGTCTTCACATAATACTAACATCTCATTGGCACACTGCAGAAGTGAGATAAAGGAGCCTTTGTGTTGGGGTTTGTGACCTTTAAAGGCCATGAGAGCATGTAAATATATTTTTGTGCACTAAAGTGGGAGTGTACTATGGTTGACTGACCTAGGTTAGGCAGTTTATGGCTCAGGTCATGTAAACCCTTTTCCTTAGGCATAGGCACTACCATTGAGGGTTTATAGAAGGTCATCCCTCGTTCAGGTCAAAGAGATGCCCAAGGATGTTGTTTACAGGCCAGGTTCATAGTCTCAAACAAACATGTAGACCTATGAGAGCAAAGGCCAAATCCTCAACAAAACTTCTGCATGGCTATGAACATATGATAATTGCATTTTTTGAAAGCAACACTATAGAGGGATATGTGTATATGTGCATAGAGAGAGCTCCCTTTGCACTATAGTAATATGTGCATTTAACTTCTACCATTTATTTGTTAACTTTGATGGCCCAATCATAAGCCCCTGCACATAAATGTGGGTCATAGCTCCCGTTGGATTAGTTTGGGAAGGTTGTGGATCATGGATCTAGGGATGGGTGGAGTGCCCTGATGATAGTCACTTATTTTGATTAGTTTGAGAAGACAGTTGTGGATCAAGGATCCCGACATGCATGGAGTGCCGTGATAGTCACTTATTTTGAAGTATTGGTACCAATCCACTTCTAGAGGTATTTCTGTAAGTTTTAAATTTTCTTAAGAACCTCATAAATATTGTTTTTCAACAATATTTATGATTAGTGATTTTGGATATTTTTCATAATTTTAAAATTGAATTTAAATGAATAAATACCCCCTAACAGTTATTTCTGAAATTTTCTATATAAGGGGTGTTTTTGAAATATTGATTTTAAAAGGTGGGACCCACGTGGGGGGGCCCAACCCCTGCAAGCGTGGGGTCTACATGGTGTGGGAAATTGGGCCCACATTTTCCACACACCCCACAAAGTTTGACGCCCCATGTTTCCCATTAACTTGGGAAACCTTGAGGGTGTTTTTTCTTTTACGAAAAATATCTTATTTGTTTAGTTGAAAATTTCTACGATGTTTTTTTGAGAAAATCTTGAGTGAGATTTTTATGGGATCTAGATTATTTTGGTCATATTTGTTTTATTTTGACATTATTAAATATCCCTTAGTGAGATAAAAGGAAAAATGTATAGCTTCCAATGGAAGAGGGGGGACTTGAGATTCGTGACATTGAGTTCAGTATTGCGTGCATGATGAAGTTGGCATGGCAAATCCTGGCGAATCCTTCCTCTCTGGTAGCATGTTTTTTTAAACACGAGTATTTTAGAAATTCTTCTATCTGGGGAACTTATAAAACAAACTGCTGCTATGCTTGGAAAGTCATTCAAATGGGGTTGCCTTTCTTGCGCCACAATGTTAGATTATTGGGGATGGCAGGATAGTAGATTTTCAGATCCATGATTATCAGAAAGATCAATTATGGAATCTTATGCTTCCAATATTCAGAAGGACATGGCAAAGGTTGCAGATTACCTACATGGCTCCCCACAAACTTGGCATCTTCCTTCCCCTACATATGGCCCGTTCCTGAGAGCATCTGGCCCTTCACTAAGAGTATGGAAGAAAGTGGAGGCTTTTTCAACTCCTCTTAAATGATAGGATGATCTTTTAGTATGGATTCACTCTGCTAATGGAATATTCTCGATTAAAGAGGAATGGAATTTTATTTGTCAAAGGGGTTCTCAACTAATTTTCAGATCACTATGGTCCCTCTAAGTGCCATCCTAAGGCGAAACAGTTTTATTGGCTGAGCCTTCATCAAACTACCTACGTCCTCTCTTATGCAGAGAGAAATTACCCTAAGGCTCATGTGTGCCCCTTCT